TGTTGTATTGCTACCTTTAGCAACCAACAAAATCATAGATGTTGTATTCATTTTAAGAATTGTGATTTCAACGTGGAGGTATTTTGAACCTAGATTAGTGAGAATTTTCAAAAGCAATTCTCTTTTGAGCTTTTTATTATTGAGTTAGTATAAACTATTATTTAGTTGATTTATTTTTTTTTGATTCAAATTATTTCAATTATTAAATAGAGAAAATATAATTACAAGAAATTTACATATTTATTTATCGACTCCTTAAAAATTTGTATTTCTTTGATTTAATTCAATTTTAATGAAATAAAAAAATTCAAATAAATTTATTTATCTACGAACTAGCCAGAATAGTCAACGGACCCAAATTAAGCCTTAATTTTGCCCACATTCATAATATGAAACTATCTTTTATATTTCGTTCTCCGACGGCAACTAGAGGCCGTCGGAAAATGAAACTAGTACAAATAAATCTTAGTTCAAAATTTTATTCTTAATTTTTTGAAATTGAAATTTACTGTACAGTTTTCGAATATTATTCCCCCTTTTCTTTTTTTACGTTCGTCTGAACTCTCTTCAGAACTTTCTTCGGTGCTTTCTTCGGTGCTTGGTTCTGAGAATTCAACCGGCAACCATGTTGAATCACTTAATTCATCCTCGTCACTTGCTTCTCGATTCTCTAACCCTACGTCGTTAACTAGTAATGGCTGGTTACTTGTTGTTTCAGTTATTTGTTCTGGTAGGTTATTTGTTGAGTCAGCCTTATCACCCCCAGGAATATCGGAAGAAGCAGCAACAGATCTCACAGCCGCGACAGAAGAAGCAGCAACAGAGGTCACAGCCACAACTGAAGAAGTAAAAGTTGCAGCTCTCGACGTAGGCAAAACTGCGGCCAAAAAACGAATTTCAGGTAGCTGATGACTTGAAGATGAAGTAGCTGTCGTTTGCCCAGGGTTACTTGTTAGTCTTGGTTGATATTGGTTGCGATGAAAGAGATTACGATAATATGCTCTTTGTTGCGGAGTGTGGTGGCTGATATGTTTATTTGATGGGTTCCTTTGGTAGGAACCACATATTTTACATACATAATATCTATTTCCACTTCTAGCTATTCTTTGGAAGTAAAACATGTCAAATATTCAATTTTTACAGGTATTTTTGTTCGAGTAAAGAAAAAAATTATTTTTATTCAAACAAAAGAAAAAAAGCAATATATATACTCTCTTGCTCGATAGCATTTTGCGTGTATCATGTATAATAAAGTAACTTTCAAACATTTTAAAATCAGTTATAATATAATGTGCAATTATTTTAATCGTTATTTAAACAATGCTACATATTTTATTTAAATAAACTAATAATATTTTTATATTAAAACGTATTGAACTTAATTAGAGTACATCTTTATAGTCTGTTTATGACTCAGCAACTGAGTCATGATTCACAATATATAAAATTAGAGTATTTTTAATATTTTTATACAAAAAATAAATTCGGTATACATATTTAATTGTAACACAAAGAACAAAGCGTGTTCTAATACGCGTACTAAGCCTCGAAAATGCTGCGTGATATGTTGGTAAAATGTAAAAAAATTTCTTTTTTTTTTGAATAAACAAGTTTTTTTATAATTCACATTTAATGTAAGAATAACAAAGAACAAACGCGTTCCAATATGCGTGCTAAGCCTCAATAGCGAGTAGGAAAATAATTTAAAAATATGGTAAGTTCGCCTTTATTTTATTATATATCTTACTGGTATTTTAAGTCAGTATGACAAGTTAAAGGTAAAAAATATTTAAGGCTGGCAGCTAATAAAGGAATCAAAGGCCATGGAATTGTGTGATAAAAATTACATTACTTATAATTGGTATAAGTAATCTGACCGAATATTAGTTTTAGGCGCTTTACATTTTATGTTATTTGAAATATTTTAACGGATTTCCAATTACTTTAAGATCACATGATTCCGCGGACCCATGGGGCCGTAGAATCATATGATCAATAGAAATGAGGGACCACAGCCCATATATTCGAATTGTTTTACAAATTTAAATTGTGAATTTTAATTAATATTAAAATTCAATATTTAAATTTTGTTATATAACTTATGAAACAATTTGAAAATATTCCTAGAAAGTACTTAAAGAGTAATAAAGTTATGAAAAATTTAATCGTGTACAATTCTGATTACTGTATTCAAATATAAAAGCCCAAATCAAGAAGGTGAAAAGTTATCATAAAAATAAAGAATATAAAAAAGTATGGGAATGGGATATAAAAAAGGTTATAAGCATAAATCTCAAACACTTATAAAATATGCAATGCGGAAATTATTGACTGGCACACCTTTTAAATCTAGAAAAATTGTAAATTATTCCACAAATTAAATTCACATAAAGATCTTATTTAAGCGAATTATCTTAGCTTAATATTATCTTACGGTTTTGTTAAGATAAAAATGAGGCTCAGCGAATATTCAAAGAACCCGAATGCTCCAAATAAATACATCATTCTGATTATCTATACATCATTTCATTTTTGCACTTCTTTCATGACGTTGTAATCGCTTCACAATGAATATGTAATGATTAAACTATCAGTTATGTTTAATAAATGAACAATGATAAACTAATACAAAAATATTTTTTCTCGTAATATTTGTTATAAAAATGCC